GGGCGCCAGCGGCGTGGGCAAGACCGGTGAGGGAGGGCGGCCGGGGCGGGTGACCGGGGCCGCGGGGGGTTAACGCGGGGGACTAACGGCCGTCTCCTTGCCCCGCAGCGCTAGTGGTGCGGTTCCTCACGCGGCGCTTCATCGGCGACTACGAGCGGAACGCGGGTGAGACCCCCCGCCCCGGCCCCACGCTGTCCCCGAGCCTAGCCCCGGCCCGACCGAGTGCGGGGAACCGCCGGGGGTCCCCTGCTCCAGACAAGCCCCGGCCCCGGCGCCCGCTCTTGACCTCGACGCAAAGCCCACGTGAAGATGCAGCCTCCTCCTTTCCCGGGCGCTGGGAAACTGCTGGCCCTCATCTCGACCCGAGGGTGTCTGTCATGGGGCTGCGTGGCCACTGGCTTGGCTTGTGGGGCGGGTGGCCCCACACCCCCCATCCGCTGTGGCTGATAAACCTCTTCACCCCTGACAAATGTTAGTGGCTGCATCTCCCCTTGAGCTGCGAGCGCAGTGATGCCTGCGCCCCTTGTTAACAACTGCTGGTGAAGAGCAGCGTTGGGAAGCCTCCTTCTCTTCAGTCTCAGTCGAGGAGCAGAAGAGCGCTGGCTGCCACATGCAGAAGGATGCATGTTATGGCAGGAAAGCAAAAGTCCCAACATATTAAGTCGAGTGCAGTGTTTGAGGGGACTCAAACCAGTGAATAAAAGGAGCAGAGATGTCCCCGTCTAGGAAATGGTTGTTTGGGGTCTGTTCTGGTTTTTACAATAATGAATCGAAGCTAAAAGGTCAGCTGCAAGGAAGCTGAAAAATATCCTTGGAGAAGAGCCTTTCTCAAGTGTAGAAGGGCTGACAGATGAGGACATTGCTTTCCTGTCAGAAGTTGCTCCACCTTATCTTTGTTTAGGCAATTTTGAAATGTCACTTGGAAAGCAGTGGTAGCTTTTTTTAATTTTAAGAGACTTGGGACTAAGCTCAAAAATAAATCCATGTAAAACTAGCTCTAGAGGGGTCTGGTGACATTGTGTACAAAGACGACTTTCACCCCAATTCTGTCAAAGATGGGCCAGATCTTAGTGCTGTTGTTCATATATTGTGCTAGTGATAAACTTTCTGTTTTCCTGCATTGTTATCGAAAGGGGGGGGGGGGGTCCCTTCTCCCTATTCTCTCAAGGAATTGTTGTCTGTCTAGATGGCTGCGATCATATTGTAATGAAATATTTGCTGTTGTCAGGTAATCTTTACAGCAGACAGATCCAACTAGATGGAGAGACCCTTGCTATTCAAGTGCAAGACACACCAGGAATTCAGGTAAGAAACATATCTGTGCATCCCTTCGACTAGTGAAAAATAAGTCTAATTTTTATATCCGTTTTAACCAGAGGAGTAGTTCAGCCAGTTACCAGGCTTTCTACACACCATTAAAATCAAGTACTTCACAGTGGGAGAGGTGATAACCCAGCTTATAAACAGCCAAAACTTGTATGCCTTGTATGTATGGTACATTGCCAGGAAAAGTAACAACCCATTATTCTGTTATACTTGAAGAGCTGCAGGTTTGTGGGGGATCCAGGCAGGATTAATCTACAATATTCATTCGAATGTGTTCAGAACACTGGCTAAAAGGAACATGGTATTTTTGTGCCGATATGAAACGCACTCTAGAAATCTGGTACGAAAAACTTCCTTGATACTGTCAAAGAAATGGTGGGGTTTTGCAGATCTGCACAATATAAACTAAAACCCCGTAGTATTGTGGCTGTAGTCTTTACAGTGCTATAAATTTTGTACCACAAAGTTTGAATGTATAGACCTGAATAACATTGCATTTTTGCCTTTTTGAACTGGGCAGCTCTCCAGGTCTAAATGCTTCCAGCTCCTATCTCTGCTTCCCTAGACTTGCTGTCTAGCCAGTTAATTTCCCATTCTGTGGAGCTACAAAGTCCTGCTCTGCTTGCAGAACTGCTCGGGTCAATTTTCCACTTGAGTGTGGCAAACTCCAGCTTTATGTTCCAGCTTTTTGCAGCTGGAACAACATAGTTCAAGGGCAAAGAAAATAGAGCTTGATTTATTTATTTTTGTCATCTGAACTACAAGCATGTTGGATAATGCATTTGATTTTAGTTGACTAAATTTTAACGATGGAAAAAATGTATCATATCAATCTAATATTTTCAAATTCCTCTTTTAGATCCACGAACACACTCCAGATTGTAATGAACAGTTGAACAGGTGCATTCGATGGGCAGATGCTGTTGTGATTGTCTTCTCCATCACAGATTATAAGAGCTATGAACTGCTTAGTTACCTGCACCAGCACATTCGACAGTTGCATCCAGGAAACACTATCCCTGTTGTCATTGTAGCAAACAAAGCTGATCTCTTGCATATTAAAGAAGTAGAGCCACAGCATGGACTTCAATTGGCCAACGTGCTGGGTTGTGCTTTTTATGAGGTGTCTGTCAGTGAAAACTATAATGATGTCTTCAATGCCTTCCATGTCCTCTGTAAAGAAGTTAGTAAACAACAAATAACAAGCACCCCTGAGAGAAGAAGAACCTCTCTCATACCAAGGCCAAAGTCTCCCAACATGCAGGATCTGAAGAGAAGATTCAAGCAAGCTTTGTCTGCTAAAGTGAGGACTGTTACTTCTGTTTGAAAATAAAGCTTGGTGGGCTTTTGTCTTCCCACCAGTCAGTCTTTAAGGTCCAGCTGTGGAAGGTTAACCACTGGCACTGTAGAGTCCAAGGAACATGAATGAAAGAAGCAAGGTTCAGATGTTCTTTTGAATCACTGTAGAAATAAGACGTTAAAGGAGGAATGAAGTTGAAGCAAGCTTGAACGAGCTCCTGAAATGGTTCTTGATCTAAGTGGTAGAACACACATATCTTTGTTTTGAAACAGAACTTTTCAATGAGTAAAACAATCTTGTCTGTCTCTCCTGTGGTGGGACAAGCTTGGCTTGATGTTTTGTATGACCATGTATCCCTTGAACTGTAACTCAACCATAGATGGGTGACAGAGAAATCCTCATGAATTTTTTTTTTAAAGCTTACTGATTTGGAAGTAACCACTTACCTTAGCTTGTTTTCAGAAGTGAATGAGGGACAGCATGACATGGCTCTCTGTGTTCTTATTGTGTAGTACAGTCTTACCAATGTATTTTAAAGCACAAATACAAACTTGCTTTGTGAAGTAAGTGTTAAATGAGTGCATGTGACTGGGTTTCATGACTATAAACAGTGCTACTCTTTTTACTAGCTATGTTAATGACAGCTTGACTGGACTTTTTGTACACAGATCTGTTATGCACAGGGTGTAAACGTACTTTTATTACAATAACTTGTTTTTTACTGTATGAAAAATACTGTTCAGATTCACTTTCAAATGTGCTCAACTGATAAAGCACTGTGGCTTTCCCATCCAAGTGCTGAATGATAGCCCTTAACTGCCAGTTGAAACTCTTAATTTCCCTTGCTCTTTTTTCTATGGACCAGACATAGAAAGAGTCATTGTTTATGGATTCAGTTTGTAGATGATAAACATTGCTGGTTCTGGGTAATGAAGCTGAGTTTGTTGTCAGCTGAGACCCTACTCTTTACACACATGGCAGACTTACACATTTTTACTTTGAGCCAGTGGAGTTTGAGTTCATGGGTGAAAGGCCTTATACAAATGCACTTTAAAAAACAGTTGTACTTTTGCTTAAACTGTAATTTATTTATTTTGTGTACAACCGCTCCTTACATGGAGCAGACTCTTCACTCCTAGTCTGTTTCAGTATTAAATTGTTTTTTGAAATCCATAATTTCTCATGTGGGTGTTTGTTTTAGAACAGTTGTAAACAATCAATGAAACTTGGAGATAAGCAGTGCTTCATTAATATCTATTGTTTTCTCACAACTTATGTGATATGTGCCAAACACTCTTTAAGAACAGCAGTAGGAATGTTGAATGCATCACTGTATAAAAGACTTGGGTAGAGTTTAGATTATGGGATGGTTTGGAAAGGGATCATCCTGCCTCAGGCAGGCAGTTGGACTAGATGACCTCTGGAGGGTCCTTCCAGCCCTACTTCTCTATACGGTTCCATGACTTAAGTTTGCTTTAGCATAAGCACCCTCGCTTTGACATGGGGGGTGGTGAGAAATGAAGTCCGACTTTTCTGTGTCCTACGTTATTCCCTCCAAAGGCCTTTTGAACTAGAACTCAGGTCCATCATTTTCCTGTTCTGGGATAAAGTCCTAATAGCAATGGGGAGAGCAGGCTAGATATGATTATCAGAGACAATCTATATTTACGTTGTCTCATGTTACTTCAGCCTCTTAAACTGTAATAACTAGCACTACAGTTTTGCCTAGCAAGCAAAACAACAGGGAAGTTTAGTACAGTAAATTACAAACCTCACTCTTCCACTGACAGATGAGGCTGGCTTGCTGAGACATGCCCCCCAAAGAAGGTACTTAAGTTTTGACTGGAATGAATGGTGTGTAGCATTCATTATTATCAGCACATATCTGTACCATCTAAACTGTTAGAGCTGGCGTACTGGTTACTGGCTGGCTTAAGGCTAGATCTGAAATGGGGACTTTAGACACTATAGTATTTTCTTTCTCAATATACAGGTAGATGTGTGGTTGTCTGAGAATAAAATCCATAAAAACCAGCATGCTGAGCAGGGACCCATTTAAGCCAGCCAGTAGGAAGTGCTGAAGAGAGGAGGTTCACAGCTTGAAACAACTGCCTAGAGTTAAGTGTCTAAACTTTCAGCCCATCGTGGTTCCTTGTTATTTCAAGACAGTAGTAGTGGTGGGCATCTCTATCACCACTGTTGTAGAAGTGGCTATGGGTCCTTAGTGCTGTCAGGTGTGCTCAAGGCATATCTACCAGCTTAGACCTATCAGGGGTCTTAGGCACAGCTATAGTTAGTTTGGAGATCATGAATGGCCGTAGGCAAGATACCTAGACGCTCAGCTAAAATGGGAGGGAGCAGGGGGTGCTTCTGGTTGTAACCGCTAAGTCAACTAAATGCTTTGTGAATTCCACCCTTAATCCTGAGGCATTTAAACTGGCAAATACTCTGCCTTCTTTTCTTTAAGGGTTACTGTCCTTCATTTTCTTGAGACATCAACATTCTCTTCTCCCCAGTTAACATAGTGGGATACAGTAACCACACACATCCAACCAATTTCCAGTCATTTACATATTACATGTACATGGCTAACCTGGCCCAAGCTGCTACACATCATGTGGCTGACATCTTGACAAGCTACCTTTGGCAGCTAAGCCTCCAACCCAAAGTAGTTATCTGAAAGAAAAAAATGTAGTAGCCACTCTTGAGAAGGCCCAACCCCGTCTAATTCCCAAAGTAAATTAAGCACATTCCAGTTGACATTTATTCCTGAACCCATCAAGTGCAACAAGTTAGTTGACTGCACTTCACATCTGCAGTAAGATGTACAATTATAGCAGCCTAAATGGGTAAATCTGAGCCAATAAATTACTCTTGGTCTTGGTTGACCTTCACTAGCTGCCTTATCCTGGAGCATCAACTGTATTGTGCTTACCTCAGGGAAGGCTCCCTCTTGGAAAATGTATCAAATACAAGCCACAGTTGCACCTAACATAAACAATGTTCTGTTCCGATCCAAGTTGTGTGCATTGGTGCTGACTTTCTCTTCTCTGACTCAGATTGGGCTCAAAGAGCCAAGCTTTCTTTAGCAGTACATAGATACCCACTGCCTGCTCCCAGAACAACTAAGTTCATACTGGTATCATTATGACTATTGAAACCTCCCATCAGGACCAAATATTGCTTAGCCTATCCTTGGGACAGCCTTTTGTGATACAGGAGGCTTATGTCACCCTTCTGTGCTTTCTGTGTCAAGTTATTCATCTTCAGTTTAGGCACAGTTACAAATCACTGGATTCTGCATCCTAAATTCAGTTTTCTGCTGTCTTCACTGTGACAATTACCTAATCAACCAGAAGCATTGGCTGAGCTTCTCCTGCTGACTGGATGGAGCTTAGCATTCCCTTGAATGCTGTAGCACATCTTGCGCTCTTCTGCTTACACAAAAGTTAGGGTTAGCCATGGCTTGAGGTTGGCACTGACAGTTTGCATCTCGTCTGTCTGTATCCGCCATGAGGACTTCCACATTAGAATTGGTTCCCTGCCCTCTCTTATGGCCTTGATAACTAATGCAACCAGAAATCACACTAACCTTCCACAAGGGACCACTCACATTTGCAAATTCAAGCTAAAAGGACTAGGTTTCACCAGCTGCTTGAACAGCAGTAGAGTATCTTTGTTGCTTCCCGTTTCTTCATCTCTAGCTACTGGCTGCTGGACTGCTGTCCCTGATGCTGAATCAGAGTGGCCCTGTCCTGTTGTTGCAGATGTACTTGGCCAGCATGAACTGGCAAGGTTGCACAAGAGGTGGATGTGGAAGACCAGTCATTACTTCAGTATGAGGTACTGACAGAACAACACAAAGTTCAGGAATTTCTAGCCCCAGTGTCTATTTAAGCCCTACTCTCCTCTAACATGGATGACCAGTAAGAAGCATGAGAACATTTGGCTAAGCCAGGAAGGAAAGGGAATGGTGGAGAAAGGATCTATCACAACTGCAACAGCTTCCCTAGACTAGTAAGGCATTCCCTGACCTGACATCATTTGAGGAAGCTAACAGCGAGGAGGCCACAGAAAATGGAGAAATTACTGTCCACAAAGCAGAGTAAATAAACAAACCACAAAGCTCCTCTGAAAGTGTGGAAAGCAGGGAAAAGAGCTGCAGGGGTCTGAGGTCTGTGGAGGGTGCTCCTCCCTGGAAACAGGCTGAGGAAGGAGTAGCTTCTGGAATAATCTGCAGAGCACATAGGGAGAGGTTTCTCAGAGGAACAACACGGGCAAGCATGGGCAGATCTAGGATTTTGAAAAGGAAGTGCGGATGGTGTGGTGCATCATCACATATAACACAGCACACATTTTCTCCAGGTAAGAAGAAATTAGAAGCTTTGCTAATATGCTAAGAGCTTAGGGCTCTATTGTTCAGTTTAAGATTGAAGCAAAAAACAAATATAACTTTATCAGAACATGTATTAATTTGCAATATCACATGTATAAAAAACCCACACCAAATAGGCAAAAATAATCAAAAGATGGTTCCTTAGTCCTGTAGTCATTAGAATTAAATGGACATCTCTTTCAGAGTCATACAAACAAGCTCTAACCTTCTTGTGAATCTTGACAGTTCATTTAAAGCTTTGCTGAAAGTTACTTCCACATCTGAGTTAATATTCACCTGAGTTCATGTTTCCATACTTGAGTGAATGCTTTTTGCTAGAGCTAAAAATAGTCTTCAGGGCTGTGAAATAGGAGCTATATTACCAGAAGTAGTTAGTAGATAGCAGAATTGCAGAAGAAAGAACAGCTTGACTAGTGGAACTTCAAGGCCATTAAAAAGGAGAGGGGGTCACTAACACCTGTGGAACGAGGCATTTAAAAGGAATCAGGTAAATAATAATGAGCCACAAAGTCAAGTGATTCCCTCACTGCTGCCTGAATAGAAATGCTGCTGTCACTACCAGGCAGCAGGTTGTAAATTTTGGCTAGATTAGGAATCCAAGGGGGGGCAAATGCCCCACTCCTTCCACTGGATCCACCCCTGCAGGCAGATGATGCTATTTCTCCCTGAGTGACCCCTCCCTGTGCACTTTATGCTCCTTGAAGCCTCCCTTATACATAGGGTTTGACCTAACCCTGTTTTCTTACATGCAACCACCTAAACATCATGGCTGAAAAATGGGCCATGAGTGGGTGCTGTGCTTTCTGGCTTGCCCTCAAGTATATCCCTATACACCAGCTGGGGGGAAGCAAAGGGAGAGGGCTATGATCAAACAATTTCCAAAACATCTATATTCTGATCAGAAGCACAAAGCGGAAGAAAATGAAATGTAACCATGGAGACTGGCTACTTGCCTTTATTTCTCAACCTTACATAGTCCCATGGAATTCTAAAGCTTTCAACATTACATACTTTGCTTTGACATGTTAGTTTCCCATCAAATACAGAATCAAGTTATATATCACAATTTCACAATATTTTCTCTCTCACTGAAGGCAACTTCATCCATGCTGTATAATCAACTTTGGTTCCATATTAGCCACTGAAGTGTATTTATACCAAAATGGAGATTTTTCAGAAAAAAGATGCATTTAACAGACCTCACCCTAGCTAAGAGTGTAAAGGTAAAAGAGCTAGTTTCTGTTTAATTCCTAAGGCATGACAATGAATGCTAAAATAGGCACACACTTCACTGGATGGAGAGGGGAGTTAAATGTGCCCTTCAAATATAATTTCTGTGTCAAATGTAGACTTAGCATCTGTGGGATGGACCAACTGGCATACCAATGACGTATCTTTCTGACTGCGTCGTTTTATGTTATATTTATAAAAGTTCAGTACTGAACAACTGTATCCCTAGCAACCAATGCTTTTTTTCATTCTAAGATTATATCAAAGTCTTAAAAAGAAAAATTACATAACTCAGTTTTGTTGAAGGCTGTTGCCTAATCTTAAATAAAGAGCAAAAGCTTTCTAACCACATTGTTGAGAAACAGAACTTAAAACAGGTTTTACTTTTGGCATTCCAGCCCCTTTATGAATGACAATGTGTTATTTATTTAATGTGCTTGAAATAAGCATTAATAAAGTGAAACATCTAATCACCACAGTCCAAATGCTAGCCTGTGTAAAATCCTACAGAGGAGTATGCCACCAAAGACATTGACTTTTCTCAGGGCCTGTGGGTGGGGCAAACAATGGGAAACCAGGAATTTGTGAGAATACTGGCCATGTGCCTCACCAGCTTGGATTATGGTGGCGCTCCCTAGTAGGACTGTCCTCTGTTGCTCTCTGGTCAACTGTGGACCTATCAGTGGGCTGGTAGCTGGTGTGCCATTCAGGGCTGCACTCTGTGATCCCTCAGTTGGGTTGAAGCAAGATGAGATAATGCTGCATAAGGCACGTGTTTTGCAGGAGAACATGGCCCACAGAACTAGATTTTGCTATCCCTGCTCTCACTGAGTGATGTCTCAGGGAGCAACATAGGACAGCTTCAATCAATCCCACTGAAATGAATGCCACAGCTCCTGGAGTAAAGTACTGCTCAGTGAAGGGAAAGCTGGCTGAATCTGGCCCTCTGTGGCTTTCCACAGCCTCCCCTTTTCTGGGACTTTCTTATAGGCAGCCATCTCTCTTCTCCTCACAATGCAAGAGGCAAGGTCCCAGTTAGCACATGGGGTTCAGAACAGAAGTACAGTCTCATCAAGGAGGGAGGAACTGAATGCTAGCTTGATGTCACAGAGGAAGTAAGAGGCTTTTAAGTACTCCTGTAGGCCATAGAAGTCCCATTGCAACCAGCTCTCCATTCACTTTGCATAGTTTTCAATTACAGCTGCAAATTAGTTTTCAGGTATTTTCGTTTTTGGAAGACCATCAGAAAGAACAACAGACAAGAGGTTTGGTACTTTCAGCGAAGGCAAATCATTTATCTCTTCCACAGATCCACACACTTCAGATGCCAATGTCTGGCTGGAGATGGTCTGCTGCAAATAACAACTCTGGAATGTGAAGTGGTGTCAGGAGAGTTGAGGAGAGCACAATTACCTGAAGACAGAAAAAATAAATATACAATTAGGGAAACTAATCCTGACTGCAATTGCAACAAGAGGAATAAACATGCAGGCTCCACTTGCAGAACAACTGAAAAGTTACTGGTCTCTTATGTTCATGGTGAGACAACAATGCAGCTTGCCCAAAGCTACTGTCTACTCAGCTAATAATAATACTTAAAGTCAAAGTCAGTGGATAGTAGGCAACTGTTGATACTTCTAGATCACGGTATATGAGCAAGAGGTTACTAGCACCTTTGACATGTACATCTAGGCAGGAGTATGGGGGAGTGGAGATGGCCGAGACCTTCCATCCCCACTTTACACCATTGAGACAGAGGCCAGAGTCTGGATGTTTGGTGCCTTGATGGCTGTAGTTGTGTGCACGTCCTGGAATCGAAGCCAGGTCTCCTACATGGCAGACAAAGATTCTACCACTGAACGGCAACAGTGGGTCTGTCAGTAGGAACATAGTGACTAACACAGTACTTTTAAAGCATGTATACTTTGATTCATTCTTACACGCCCCTCATCCTGGGAAACACAGGGATTTGTTGTGACTGCCACTGGGTTGATTTGTGAAACTCAACCAGCAGTTTCCCCTGCCACAGCATTGAATGTTGTCAACAATTGACTCCAAGTTGCTGCTTTGTTTAAGCTAAGGTGAGTATTACAGAAAGTGCGGTCTGCCTGCTGTGGCTTGTCAATGAACTCTCCTCAGCATTCAGAAACTTGCTACTTGAGTCCAGCATTTCAACCAGCAGGGTCAGGGCTCAATCAAAAGATAATTGCGATGATCATTTTTACTCTTCACATGAGAAAAATGTGACTCCAGTGAAAAAGTGTCATTCATTACACCTCTTAAGCAGTGAAGAAAGACATTGGTCATTGGACACAACATATATTTATTTCCCAAAAGAAAATGAGCATGTGGGTCCCTAATGTAATTTCATTAGCAACTTCAGGCTTGTCTACAGCATGCAGAGTAATGTGCAGTAAGTGATATGTGAATGTACTGCTCACTGACTAGTCTATAATAACCTTGCGTGCAGACCCAACTCAGCATAGTGCTAACTATGGTTAGAGTCAAAGCAAGATCTGAGAATAACCTCCATTACACGCAGCAGGGTATGTGGGATAAATACTATCGTTTTAAAACAGAAAAGCTGGAGAGAAGTTATCTTACTCAGTACACTTGAAAATATGTGTTTGCAATATAAAATTAGGGATATTTGAATTCGAAAAATCCCAAGAAAGGAAACAACAATAGCTGCAACTCAAACTCAAATACCAATAGCAGTGAGCATGTCTGGGTCTACTTCCTGGCATATTTAATCATATTTAATCACTCTTCATATGAGGTACAAAGCACAAGGAACAAATATGTTACTGGAATATCTGAGAACTGCAGCAGATTTGAGAGAGAGAGTTAAATTCATGTACCCCAGATCCCAGTAGTACTACACTTAAGCTTTCCTGCTCCTTTTCGTTTGCCTTTTCTCTTTACATATAATGAAAGGAATTTGACTTTAAATTACTACAGACTTCTTTTGTACTATCAAACTTCCTCTCCGTGTCCTCCTACACAAACTGCAGCAAATTGACACTGATTATCTCTTTTGCTTCCTATTGCTAAACCGTCTCTATAATTTGCAGGTGCCAAAGGCTGCTGCTTCTTTCCTAATGCTGTGCAGGAATCAAAGTACAGCACAGTCTGTGCTTCCTCTGCTACAGATCCAACTTAATTCTGAAAAATATGAAGGGACACATTACTAATGTTTTCAGTCTGTGAATCTACAAGGCCAAACACTGCCAGCCGCTGCCAGTTCAAAGCAGTTTAACTATAGTTCTGGCAAAATGAAATTATCAGTGTAAATGTGTCAATATTTTATGCTAAAGTAAGTTCCTGCCTTTCAACATTTACAATGCTATCAATAGAGGGTTTAGAAATGGATGGAGAGCATACAGTGCTCTGTTCCTGTGAGGAACAGATGATCCAGCTTTTTGTGCAACTGCCCAAAATATAAAGGACTATCTTTTCTCCATGCAAGGAGATTGAATTCTCATTGCACATCCTCCCCTGGTTTAAAATCTGTTTCCTTATCTGTGGTGCTTTAATTGAGGGATACATTTCTTCTTAACAGCCAAGGCAAAGTGGCCGGAGGGTCGTTATGCAAGATCCACTGCACGGTAGTGAAGAGTTCCCAGGAAACAAAGAGAAGGGCAGGAGAAGATGTGTGTAAATAATGAAAAGAATTCTGGAAAAGAAGCCAGTGATTTGGTGAATGAATCAGCCCACAATGAAAATACAGTGGCAGTGTTGGATGACACTGAATAGCTGGCTTTCAGGAATACACAAGGAAGCTGGATGGACAAGCTGTTGAGTTTGCCTACGCTGCTCAGACAAAATGATGTAGGCAGCAATTGTAGGGGGAACACTAATGTATTTAGCAAAATCTTGTTCCTAAAGTTAATGGCAAAACTTTTATTCATTTCAGAGGGGGCCAAGTTTTCTGTCAATGCTTCAGAGTTGTCATGGATAATTATCAGGGATCCTGGTTTTCCATGATAAAAAAAATACAATTTCTCTGACAAAACCCGCAATATCTGTGGTTAAAAAGAAAGGCCCTGTAGTCCCCACCCCACTGCCCCTGCTCATGTCCCTCACTCTTCCCGCCCCCCAGCTCTCTGGCCCTGCTTGTGCCGCTCACTCCCCGACACAGCCTCCCAGCCCTGTTGGTGCCCCTTGCCTGCCACCCACAGCCCTGCCAGAAGGGGCCCCAGCTGCCAGGGCTACAGGGACAGGGACCCAGGTCCACATCTCCCTGCCCCCAACACAAGGCGGTGGCTTCTACAGGGAGCGGAGCCTGGCTCTCCCCCCCACCCCATAGCCTGCCTGTTCGAGGCAGGGGCCGCCAGTTTCCCCACCACTATGTGCACTCTTGGAGCAAGGGAGGACCTGTGCCCCCCAGATCTGTAAGTGGGGTGGGGGTGGGCTGCCCGCCACGGGCTTGGGCTTCCACCCTGCTGTCCTTACCTGGGGCCTCTGCAGCCCAGCAGATGCGACCCAGCGCTGCAGGGCACAGTGGAGCCATGCAGGAAAGCTGCTTGCTTCTGTGAGCTCTGTGCTGCCCTGGCGATGCATCCCTGTCTGTCTGGCAGCAGTGAGGGGCACAACCCCGCACTTCTGCCCCCACTGCAGCCATGTGCACGAAGGATGCATTACCAGGGCAATGCAAAGCTTGCAGTGGCAAGCAGCTTCCCCACGTGGCCTGCTCTGCCCTGCAGCACCAGGACACACCTGCCAGGCTGTGGAGGCCCCAGGGGAGGGCAGCAGGGTGGGAGCCCAAGCCTGCAGCAGGCAGCCCACCCTGCTTCTGCCCTGCACACAGATCTGGGGGGCATGGGTCCCCCCTGTGTCCCAGGAGTGCATGAAGTGTCAGGGAAGCCAGCTCCTCCCCCCAACCCTCTGACAAGCTGCCCATGGCCATGTCCCACTCCCCACCAGGGCACTGTGGCTGTGCATTGCAGCCCTGGACCTCAAGCCCCACACACCCCCTGGCTGGGCAGCAGCCCCAGCCCCAACCCTGCCCAACTCCCTCCCTATGGAGGCCTCAATCCTCCCCCCATTTACCTGTGGGAGCTGCTCTCCAGGCTGCCTGGCGGCCATGTGCATATACATGCACATGGCATCCCCTGCCCTCCTCCAGCTCCTTCCCAGACGCTTGCAGGCTGGAACTCTGCCAGCCTGCAGAGATCTCATTGCAAAACTGCAAAAACCAGTGTTGGCACAGGAGGTGGCACAGAAGCATCCACTTCTACTCTTTTCAACTTTCAAGAAATTAAGAAAATGCAAAGTCATTCTCGTCCCCTCTTTTTCTTTCTCCCTCTTTCTGCTTTAGAAACCTTCAGATTTATCAATCTGGAATAGCAAAGGACTAGTACCTGCAAGGAAGTGGGAAGGAGAGCCATTTAGCTCCATCCTAAAGCCACTAATATCATTATTTTCCTTCGTGTTTCTTACTCAGAGGAGATGAATCAAACATTTGCTTAATTGCTCTAAAATATATACGTGCTCATGTGGATGGAAACATGTTTCCTATCTCTGTATTTAATTCTCATTTGCCTAAACTGTCTCCAAGCAACTGCTTGAATAATCAGTGCCTGCTGCCAGATTTTTTTGTGGTTGTATAAAATTCTTTATTTTTATATTTATAATTCAGTTCCTATTGAAAAAGTGCCAATAATTAATGCAAACGGCCGTGCTTTGTTTCAGTGGAATGGAACTGGGAGGCCAATTCATTTTGCCCTGATGTCTGCAGCTGTTTGCCTGAACATCACAAAAACAGTTCTGTTAAATGCTGGCTGGTGGTAGATGAATGCCTGGCTCTTTGAAATGAGAATAATCCCAAACAGGTGGCACATATTCACAGCTGAACTGGAGAAATCCAGGTAAATCCAGCTAATACAGAAATCTTTTATATGACAGACTCAAACAACCACTTCTTTTCCTCTCTCATTTTCCCCCTCAGGACTGTCCTCCTCCCTTGAGCCCTTTAACCCCAAATGTAATGATTTTGTACAAAGGGCAAGTGGCAGTAAAAGCCCCAAATTCTTTGGGAATCTGCCTCAGAGGGTGACCTGCCACCAGGGTCAAACCAAACCAAAGCAACACCAGATTCCATGTCACTGCTGTCAAGCTTCAATCCCCTTTCGAAAATTAGCCCCAAAGTCTCACTGCATAGTTTTCAACTGCCTCACTCATTAACTCTGTGCTTATCTTTCAAGGTATATTAATGTATTTAGAGTCTGGATTAACTTGTCCATCACTATGTCACAATTCAATCCCTGTGCTGGATGGCAAAGAGTTTGATTCAGTGTGTCAAGGAGATAAGTGAGAGGCTAACAGGAGAGAAACATGCTATCGGATGACAAATTGTTGCTAGAAAGGGTGTTTAATTTTATAGGCTACTGCTTGAGTCCCTGATTCAAAGATGCTGCTAAAGCAGGGGAAACACATTGTCAACACAGAGGCTCCTCAGCCTCCCTTGGCTCTCTTCTGTGAAAGACTTTCCTAGTAAGAACTATGCCTTGCATGGATTAAAACATGAGAGTTTCCAGTCAGTCTTTGGGACAGCATATATTTACGACACAGATGGTTATACAGTGTTTCTCTGCATCCTTCTTGCAGCTCTGAGGAGCACCCTCCATGTCTGCTGCACCCAGAAGAAAACAGTTGCTCCCGTACACATTCCTCCAAAATTAACCACAGTTATTCATACCTTAGACTGTGCCAGAAATGGCTTGTCCCCTCTTCTACAATGGGGTGACAGTGGTCATGACCAGGAAGGGCAGGGACTAGCCACAGGGACTCAGTTGAGAACTCACCACAGGGAGCCCTGCTTTCCCTTTATTTTATGACAGCTTCTTTCTTCTTCATAGATACCCCAGCTGACCCCAAACTTTTTGGAGAATGAATGGCATTTTGGGTGCAGGGACACACTAGCACAAGGGAGGAGAAGAGGCGAATCTGGGAGCTGCTTTGGAGAATTAAACAATTGGAGTGTTCTATAATATATGACATAGGTTGCCCAGGTGTCTACTTACTGGCTTTATTCCCAACTACTGAGCTGTAAATTCTTCAGGGGAGGGCCCCTTTTCTACTCTGAAGGAGAGGATGGTGCACATATTGTCAGCTTCACTAAAGCAGAATGAACTGAGTAGGGAGGGGAGAAATTTTAGCCAAGCAGGTTGGGGTAAACTTCTTACAGAGTGTCCAGGGATGTGATGTCCACATGGAGCAGCTGTGACCTGGGTTTTAAGGAACTATGGTGGTTCCTACTGAGTAAATGGCAAAGAAGCCACTTATCTAGCATCGACAAATGAAAGGCTAGGATGTAATCCTACTTCCGTGGGAAATCATAGCTATTCAAACATGACTGGTAGGCCTTTAGGGCCATCTTTTCACATTTTGAGGCCCTTCCTCCCTACCCTTTTCTTTCTGTTTGTCTGAGAAGCCCCAAACATTTTGAAAAGACAATCTATCACCGGTGCTGATCTCTTTGGTGGGGTCATTCCTGGCAGTCCGGCTCACCTCTGTGGATTCTGCATAGAGAACCAATGCTTGTTCATAGACAACTACAAAATCTGAGACTTCACTAAAGAGCCTTTGAAAAAATATGGATGTTGTTAAACCCAAACCATACTAAACCATAAACTTTTAGAAAGTGCGCATTTGAAAGTTCCTCACGCCCAATATGCTGCTCCATGTTTCCCTCCCCTCTGTCACATGGTGGGTGCCCATCCCTGTTGTACCATGATGGCATACCCATGCCATACAGAGTTCCTGGGTATCCCAAGTCTTCTGGCTGTGAGCTCCTTTGATTGTGTTGCCCTGCCCTCAGAGGCAGGGGTAGGCAGTGGGAGCTGGAAGAGGGAGCCTGGAGACACTACCAGCAGCAACTGTAGCAGTGCGGGAAGCAGTGCCCGGACCAGGAACCCAGAGATCACAGCTTAACCCCTTGGGGCCACATGCAGTCTATGGGCCAGCAGTTGGACAGCCCTTGTCTAAATGTCTTCTTGGTCAAATAGGAATCATACCACTTTACCTGGACACTGGGTTTGCGTGCTGATATAAGGTCCTTCAGCATTTTGACCTCAGAGACTGTCACACCACCAACCATATAAAAAATCAAGAGAGGATGATCACCAGGGTGAGGACGATTCACCTATAATGGTAATAGAAAGCCTTATTCATAATGCTTCAATTTATTCTGGAACATGCATGTTCTTGGCTACAAGCTGCACATGGGGTAGTATTAACAGCATACTGCACTGGCTATTTATGGTAGGTCAAGACAGACTTGATAGACAAGACAGATTTTTTTGTAACTACTGATTAAAAGGAAGCTCAGAAATTAATTTTACAACTCTTAATTTCTGTAGAAGCTCAGTTGAAACTTAATAGGATGCTGTCCCGTTAAAAGTCATTGGCCTCATTTTCAGAGGTGT